CCCAGGCACTAGGTCCCTTTATTAAGCTCTAGTTTAAACAGAAAATGAACAAATTTTGTAAACCATACACTATTGCTACTATATTTTATTTCTCAAAATGTAAAAACATGCATGCCCCCTGTGTTAGTTTCCTATTGCTATTATAAGAAATTACCACAAATTTACTAGTTTAAAACACAGGTTTACTACCTTACAGTTCTGGAATGAGAGTGTGTGTGTGTGTGTGTGTGTGTGTGTGTGTGTGCGCGCGCGCGCGCGCGCACCTGCACCCATATGCACATCAATCAAGCATTTGGTTCAATCAGAGAGGAGGCTCTATTCTATTTTTTTAAAAGATTTTATTTATTTGAGAGAGAGTGAGTGAGAGAGAGAGAAACAAGTAGGAGGAGGGACAGAGGGAGAGGGAGAAGCAGACTCCCCGCTGAGCAGGGAGCCCCATGCGGGGCTTGATCCCAGGACCCCAAGATCATGACCTGAGCTGAAGGCAGACACTTAACCGACTGAGCCACCCAGCCACCGCAGGAGGCTCTATTCTAAACACGAGCTGTGATTACCTGGTGACGTTTCATAGACGAGATCAGTCTTGAAAGATATAGTGTCTTGAAAGACTGGCGGGTTTCTGAGGACAATCCAACCAGGACATGCAGTGGGGACAAAAGTGATGGTCATGGGAAAGAACCTTCTATGTCTGCAGGGAAAGGAGCACTGGAGAGAACTGGTTATCTAGAAGTTAGGGCTTGATGGTGGGGATACTCGGGCCCTTCTGTCACTGATGGGAAGAAAGGGGTCTGTCTGGCATCATCAGTAGTTTCTTGCTCTAGTCAAACACTGGAATGGAGTAAGACCCACTTTTCTTCTGAGGACCTTAAAGCAAAATGCCAATATCCAAGATGTTATGCAAAACAGAACCAGGAAAAAGTCCCCAGAAGATGTGGGGGAAGTCTCATGGGAAAAGTACTCTCCTCTCAATTTAAGGATCACCACTGCTGTGGCTCAATGGGACCCCAAAGCCTCAAGCCCGGCAGGAAGGTGAGGAGCACCTGGCTGACAGCAAGTTGCACCAGCTCTGGGAGAGAGGAGCAATGGAATAATCACAGAAACCAGGTCTCCAGCCATGTAGGCCCAACTCCCTGGATGGCACTTCATCTAAATAAATAAGTAAATACCCACTTCATCTAAAGGCTGAAAAATGAAACATCCCAGAAGTCTAAGCATGATTTTCGTAATTGTACAAACATTTCTAAAAGAAAACATCAATAATCTGAGCCAAGTTAACTAATCCCATTTCCATGCCTCCAGTAAAGTTAACCCAGCTAACAGGCTTTGACTTGGTAATGATTAACTGGCTGGGTTACAAAGGTAAGAGAATACTGACATCCAAGATGGTGAAATAAACTGTTGGCTGTGCATGGGCTCATTAAATTTTAATTAATTAATTAAACTTAATCAGTTCTAAGTAATGACTTCTTTCTTGAGCAGAAAAGAACAGAAACCCAGTCTTTGATCTTTCCTTAGAATCAAAGAGATGAGACTTAGAATGTTGTTAAAATTTTAGCCACCAGAGGCGCCTGGATGGCTCAGTTGGTTAAGCGACTGCCTTTGGCTCAGGTCAAGATCTCAGGATCTCAAGGTCCTGGGATCAAGCCCCGCATTGGGCTTCCTGCTCAGCCAGGAGTCTGCTTCTCCCTCTCCCCTTGCTGCTCCCCCTGCTTGTGCTCTCTCTCAAATAAATAAAATATTTAAAAAAAAAAAATTTTAGCCACGACATACTTCTTTCTTCCTACCTTTCTGCATGTGAGATAAAAGTTGCTCCTACAAATATCAATAAAATTGTCATAAAATCATGTAAAGGAAAATATTAGGAGTTAAGTGAAATTACTGTTAAGATTCTGTGAATACATAAATTAAGCTACTACAAGAAAATGACAATGTATTTTATAGATAATATAGCACGAAAATGTCATTATATAGGAGTTAAATATCCATTACGAACAACGAAGATCCTTGGTTTAAAGGACTGTCCAGTTTTCTTTTAAAAAAAAACAAGTTTTTGAGGTGAGATTCACATACACATAAAATTAAGCATTTGAAAGTGAACAATTCAGTGGTGTTTGGTACATTCATAATGTGCAGTCACCACCTCTGTATCTAGATCATTCCAAAAGATTTTCATCATCACAAAGGGAAACCCCAAACCCACTAAGCAGTTGCTCCCCACCCCTCTTGCTCTGTTAACCACCAATCTGCACCAATCCGCCTCTGCCTCTATGGATTTACCTACTTCGGATATTTCATGTAAATGTCTGGCTTCTCTCATGTAGCATGTTCTTAAGGATCGTCCATGTTGTCCCGTGTCCCAGAGCTCCATTCCTTTCTGTGAGTACCATCCCGTGTATGCATCCAGCACAACTTGTGCATCTATTCATCCATGGATGGACATCTGGGCTGTTTCTACCTTTTGGCTACTGCGAATACTGCTGCTACGAACATCTGTGTACAAGTCTCTGAACATTTGTCTTTAATTCTAGGAGTATTTCCTGGGTCACGTGGTAATTCTATGTGGAGGAACCGTCAAACTGTTTTCCACAAGTGGCCTCACCATCTTACATTCTCACCAGCAATGTATGAGGTTCAATTTCTTCACATCCTTGCCAACATTAGTTATCTCCTGTTGTGCTGACCATGGGCATCCCAGTGGGTATGAAGCGGTATCTCATTGTGGTTTTGACTTTCATTTCCCTAATGGCGAATGGTAAGCACCCTTCCATGGGCTTATCACCTATTTACATATCTTCTTTGGGGAAACGTCTGTTCAAGTCCTTTGCCTGTTTTCTAAAAAATTGGGTTGTCTTTTTTACAGTTTTAAGAGTTCTTTATACATTCTGGATACTAGACTCTTAGCGGATATATGATTTGCGATCATCTCCCCATTTTGTGGGTTGTTTTTTTCACTCTCTTGACAGTGTCCTTTGATGCACCAAAGTTTTTAATTTTGATGGAGTCCAATTTTTAATTTTGTTGCTCATGCTTTTGGTGTCCATTTCTAAGAAGCCAAAGTCATGAAACTTTCCCCTGTTTTCTTCTAAGAGTTTTATGCTTTTAGCTCTTATATTTGGGTCGATGACCCACTCTGAGGTAACTTTTTACATGATGTGAAGTAAGGGTCTAACGTCATCCTTCTGCATGTGGATATCCAGCTGTTCTAGCACTATTTGTTGAAGACACTGTTCTTTCCCCGTTGAATAACCTTGGCATGCTTTTCCTAAATCAACGGCCCATAAATGTATGGGTTTATTTCTGGACTCTGAGTTTTTAAAAAATTTTTTAATTCCGAATTTTCCATCCTATAATTCTGTCACTGCTTTTCCCAGAGGAAGTCTAGCTTATAATGGCATACTAGGAACTTTTGCTTCAAAACTAAAAATTTTTTAATGAAAAATACACATCCATAACGAATAATTTCGTTATTAAACACCTCTTTAAAAAATAAAGATGAAAAGGAGCATATGCGACCTGGAAGTCAAAACCAATCTCTGTAGAATAGTATTTTATCAGGTAGCATGTGATTTTACTGTTATTTACCATGCTGTAATGAAGTCATTAATTTTAACTGCCTACCGTTTATAAAACCTTCCATTTTACAATGACTTATGAACTTCCAGTCACCCGCTCACTGCGGTTACTACATTAAATGTCCTTGATAACAGTCTTGCCAAATTACCTGTGTCAAATGACCACCCAATTCCCAATCAAAAGAATGTTTTATTGTCTGGAACTTTTTATACGTATCGAAGTGTCCTCATTCGGACCATCCAAACTTCTCTTGGTACCCTAGATTTAAGTACCGACACAGTGTGCTATCTGGAAATTGAGGTCACCATTATTTTAGACACACGCCTGCATCCCTTCCACACAGCCCCTTCTCCTGCATTAGTTTTTCTGCAAGGGTCTGAATTGCAATCTCCTCTTAGCTCCCGGCGCCTCCAACTGCCTAGGCTGAAGGAAACACCTGACTTCCCTGATCGCAGGTCTCTCAAACCGAGGATCCCTTCAAACCACCGGTGCAGAGGCTCTAAACTCACAATCTCTACTGAAAACATAAGCTCCCATACCAGAAGAGTTGTCTCTTGCTTTTGAATCCCCTCTGCCTATGAGGGGTAAACACGGGGTATTCTGCTTGATCACAGTTTTTTTCAGAGGCAGAGACCATCTTGTTTTTATTGACCCAAGAAAGAAAAAAGGAAAAAGAAAAAAAAAAAAAAGTCTTGCCCTGGGAAACTGCGGGAGAAAAAGTCTGGGAAGTGCTGATAACTGTAGTCTAGAAAACACGTGAAAGACTTTACCTTTAGCTGGCCAGTGATGTCGCGGCAGCTGACTGTCTTACCATGCAAGAGACTAAGGTTCAGGGTCAGACCAACGGTTCTGACGGGCTGGACACATGGCTGAAGTCAGACACCAAGGAAGAGACGGCCAGCCCAACCCCTCACACAGCATCCCTTCCTGGTTAATCCATGGGGTGATAATGACACTGACTGGCCTCGTCCTGCCAACGAAGGGCAAGGCACTGCAGTGACGGCGCCTAGAAATGAATAGGAGTGATTGGGGGTAAAAGGGGGAGGGGGAAAGGTGGCCAGGATGAAGAAATGAATAAAACTCCAAATTTCTGTTACAACTCACTGTCACACCTATTACTCTAGTATCTAATGACAGGGGGGAATGGAAAATTAAAAAAAAAAAAAGAAAGAAAAGAAAAAAGAAACAAAGAAAAAAAAAAGAAAAGCTGCTACCTATTTACATTTATGCAGCATTCTAAGAATTTAGGTTTGTATCCTACAACAGGACTACATATAACTAGAGCAAGAGGTTGACTCAATTTAGTTCAAAAACCTATTGCAAAGAAAAGAGTTTTTTTTTTAATCATCAGTGTTTCTAAGTTCTGACAATTTAGTTTTTATTACGACAAAAACTCAATCCATGCTATTGAAACAGACCCTACTTACCAAACAATTCCTTGGGCTCCAGAGCCGATTGGCTTCAACTGCTGGTATCGTTTGAGGACCGTGAAGGTTGAGTCTGCCACCTGTACACTGTAAAACTGACTGTCACATTTACTGTCACTCATGATGTAGTATCATAGAATATTCCAGAGAGTTGGTACGGTCGTCGGGTTCCTTAAAAGAAAAACAGAATGAACATGCATTCTGAGATTATATGTGTGTGGCTCACTCAAGAGTGTTGCAAATTGACTGGCGTGTGAGACAAGGGGGCTGTAGGCTGATAAACTCGGTTGCATCGAGTTCTGAACTCCAGCAACATGCAAAAGAAAAAAAAAACGCAACAACATTTCACAGGTACCGAGCCCACCATGGAAGGAAGGAACACTGAATCCTGGCATGACCACGTTTTAAGGGAACGGACGAGAAATAATAGCCTTTCTTGTACTTGTGCAGTTTGCCAGCCAGGACTAGATTATGTCACTATGGGGCTCTCCTCAGCTGGCCTCCTGTCAGACCGGCGTATGCTGGGCTGTCTCAGGGATGAAGGCACTCGGGAGAGGTTTCAAAGGGATCCTGTCTACGATTCCTGCAAAAACAGTAAAAGGGCCAGTCTTCTTCTAAGTCCACAAGTTCAGGTGAAGCAGTGAAGCAGAAAGCAAGTCCTAGGCTAAAGTGACCGCAAACGGGGGAAGTTACAGAACGACAGGGTGCTGGGCCTGGTGACGTAGGCGTGTGTGTGCGCGCCCGTGCGTGTCCTGGAGCTGGCCTGCATTCCCCAACCCCACATCCCTCTCAGGCTCAATAACCAGCTCTAGACAGAGAACCGTGGTAACCTACAGTCAATGGCATGGATGGTCTGACATTTATTCATGATAAATTAGTTCAAACTGGCAGTCCCAAGCGGCCTTTTGGTGGTTTAGGCAGTAGGCTGAGATGCCCACCCTGCAGCAGCCTGTGTGATTTTATACAGAAAACGAGCAAACAGAAATCAGCAGGCAGCTACACTGACTGGGTTCCCTGGCTCTTGGCTGAAGACATTTATTTAAAAGTCAGCAAGCTATTTATTTTGCTCTTTTTTAAAAAAATTAAAAAGCCAACAATCAAATCCTAGAGGTAAACACTATATGGTTTAAAAACCGGGAATTTAAAATTTTATTGCCCAGCTCCCACAAATTCTTGTTTGTTCTATCATCTAATATTTGATGGCAACCCGCTGAGTCTTCTGGAGTGATAATTTGTATTTCAGTACAGTGATGCCTGGAATTTCCATTAAACATGGAAATAAGTTGATTAATAACAAGCCTAAACAAAGAATTTAAATCAAGTGAATAGTTTCTCCAACTGACCACTCCTTCACTCCTCCCTCCCAGCTTTTTTTTTTTTTTACACCAATTCTCAGGGCAGCGGCTGAGACCCATTGCACACTGGCCAGGCGGGGAGTACCTCGGGCCTGTGCTAGACGAACCGACCCACAGCTCATGACAACCCACAGCAGGACTACCAGCCCCTGGTACACTTCGAGCTACATGGCCTGGCCATGCCATGCTGTGGTGAGGAAGGGGCCCTAAGCTCTGGGAGGGTGGGGACAGGTCTGTCTTGCTTCCTGTGGCATCTCACACTGCTGGGACGGGGTGACAGTAGAAGCATTCAAAAAGTTTATTGATAGATAAATAAATAGATAAAGATACTGCTCTGACAGTATCTGATGATTCCCTCATGACGCTGCTGCATTTTACTGACATCTGAAGGAATATCCATTTCTAGAGATTAATTTTTTTATAGTTTTTAGGAGGCTGAGACAATTCAACTCAACACCTACGGGGTGCCTTAGTACAAGACAGTGTTAAGTAATATAGGTGATAGAGCAAGATCATCTTTTTTTTTTTTTAAGATTTTATTTATTTTGAGAGGGAGAGAGAGAGAGCAAGTGTGGGGAGGGAGCAGAGGAAGAGAGACAATGTCAAGCGGACCCCCCACTGAGTGTGGAGCCTGATAGGGCTCCGGGTAAGAGTCGGACGCTTAACTGACAGAGCCACCCAAGCACCCCAAAATCAGCTAGTCTCAAAGCCACATATAATTCACTAGTTGAGGGAAGAAGTGTGAGGAATGAGTCTGTTATCTATATTATAACACACGTTACAGTACCATAAGGGCATAAGCAAAAAGGAAACCAAGTCAAAAGGCAAAAGGGGCCCTACGCACTGGCGGGGGTGCAGAGGACAAGGAGAACTTCCTGGAAGAGGTGGTATCTGCCCTGGACTAGTGTCAGAGACGGACAGCAGAGGCACAGAGCTCGAGCTGACTGTGCTCAGACCTGGTGACTTGCTCAAATTGGCTATTGGGGGGCGAATGCAAAGGATCAGAGACAGACTCGGGGAAAAGGCAGGGAGCACTACAACCTGCTGTTTCTCAGCCCTACTGGTCATTCAAAAAGCACTTCCTGACACCACCGTGTACACAGTCCTGTGCCTGCCCTCGGTGAGCTGCCACTACGGGCCCGCTCAGGAAGAGCCCCGACACAAGGGGACCCCCAGCCCCAGACGACAGAGAAGGCCTGGGCCGCGGGGAAGGGAGGAAGCATGTGCAGAGAGGCGGAGCATGACCAGTCACCCGAGATTTAGTTTTGCTGGGCAGTGGGGGAACGAAGCTGGAGAGAGAAAAGCAGGCCAGATCACGACGGGCCCTGGAAGCCGCCGGGAGCCGTGTGGGCCCGGGCCTGGGGGCTGCCGAGCCATCGAAGCAGAGAGGCACGTGCTCCGACGTGCTGTTCAGAGTGGTCATTCGGGAAGCTGAGAGAGGGATGGCTCGGGGCAGGCAGGACTGAAGACAGGGAGACCTGGCAGAACAGGGCAGGGGCGCGGCGGGTGTGGGCGAAAAGGGTATGCACGGCTCGGAGGAAGCATGTACACGAGCTGGAGACCATGAGGGGAAATCTGGGGAAGCAGCTGGGCCGGGGACCCGCACGCACGCGCAGTCTGCGAGTCTGGCTTCGGACGGGCGCCTCCGCGGTGCCTTGAGGGACGGGCAGTATAGACCCAGGCCGCCGCCGAGCTCCAGGACCCACTCCTGCGTCCTTCAGGTGAGGCGCGGACAGATGGCTGCCCAGCCCGAGATGATGTCGGACTGCGTTCCTGGCAGCCAGGTGTGGTCACACGACCAGCTTGTGACGGCTGAGCTGTGAGCAGAGCGATGTACGCTACTTCAACAGCAGTTTATTTTTCCTTTTCTTTTTTTTTTCCTTTCCTTTCCTTCTTTCTCTTTCTCTCTCTCTTTTTTAAAGAAAGCTGCTTGCTGTCCAAAGCATCTTTCTCCCTCGCTGATGGCTGGGGGACAGCTGTCGTAGACCCAGAGATGGCAGTCACGTGAAGAGGGTAGAGCCGCCCACCAGCCGGACTCCTGAATGACCTTGCGCACCGAGCCGCCCCCCACCGCGGTCCACCTGCCCACACGGAGGCTGGCGCGAACTGACGTCCCCCTCGTTGAGCGACCCTGAACTCTCCCTGCTACAGTTGCTGGGACCTGTGTTCTGACTGCCACACTGTTAGGTTAGCTTTTGTGGATTTGGGGAGAACATCATGTCATTAGGTTCGAGAACTGATAGATTTTCATCTCAAGATTTAAAATAATTTTTAAATTAAAGGACGTTGTGCTTTGTAGGCAAAAAAAAAAAAAAAGAATCACCTAAGAGAGAAGCTGTCAAAGCCACCTTCTCTGTCAACCTTGGGCTTCATGAGCGTGAGAAAGCACCTCGGGGCAAGCCGAGAAAGCCGGTCATTTAGCTATTAATGAAATCAACTCGGTTGAGATTGTATTTCAACAAAATGGACGTCAGCTGGGTTTTAGAAGACAGTTTACAGGGCGCCTGGGTGGCTCAGATGTTTAAGCGTCTGTCTTCAGCTCAGGTCATGATCCCGGGGTCCTGGGATTGAGTCCCGCATCGGGCTCCCTGCTCCTTGGGAGCCTGCTTCTCCCTCTGCCTCTCTCTCTCTCTCTCATTAATAAATAAATAAAATCTTAAAAAAAAAAAAGAAACAGTTTACAAACTGGGAAGTGTACGAATTCTTAATACAACCACATTATCAACACACTGAAGGTGCACTCACTGCCTTCACTTCCCTCACCAGTGGGTGCTGGTTCCTCCCCTGGGCTCCCCGCAGTGGGACCCAATCCCCGCCCGCGCTGCTTCTGCAGTGACTCAGTTTCTGCAGGTCTGCCTGTGTCTCCTTCCCCCAGCCTGGGAACACATCAAAAGCAGGGAAGGTCTGTCTTCCCTCTCACACATCGAGAAATTTAAGGAAATGTCCAATGTCTACAATGATCCACTGAAAAAGCTCGTTGGGGGACAAAGGGGACACACCCTGCTCCCTGGGTTCTTCAGACCTGCACGCGCTGGGCGGACACCTCAAGGGAAGGAGTTGGCCCAGCCTTGCTTGCTAAAGGTGTCTGGCTCACGTCCATGCCCTTCCCCCTTCACCATGCTGCTTGAGTGAATCCTTGTTGAATGAAACGCTCTGATCTAAAATCCCTATTTGTCTAAGACTGAAGACTCTTGTAGAATCCCCTCTAGGAATTCTGGAGTAAAATCGACCCACTCTACAGATAAACATTGGGTAGGAAGAACATTCCTATTTGTTTAGAGTCTAGAATAGGAAATGCTTAAAAAAAAATTCTCTAACTCTAGTATTCTTCTAGATACAAGCAATTCAACTACTGTAAATATGGTATTAGTGTCCGAGGCCTATGGGGACATCAGCTACCATTCACTGAGACCTCCTGACATTTCATGAGGGCCTCCTGTGTACCAAGCACAAGGTAAAGGGTGTCAAGAGAGCACTAACCAGATAGTCCCTTCCCTCGAACGGCCAAGAGCATAATCATCACACCGCCTAGGAAGTGTCCTAGGGGTAGGCGTGGGCCCAAGGGTAGGGGCCCAGCACAGTGGTGTGTTGCGGGGGAGCCAGTGAATGAGGAGAAGGGCGTGTGCTAGTGAGACATGGATATAAAGGAAGGTTTCCAGGAGGAGCCAAGACCTGAGTGCAAGTTTGTTCACAATATCAACCCAGGGGTGCGGGAACAGGCCTTCTCATTCGTGCTGGCAAGCACTGTAAATTGGCAATTCATTTTGGGGGAGGAGAATACGTAATATCTAATGAAA